GGAGCTCCCAGCAGAAGGCCGGGTGAGGGAGGCGGACCCCGGCCTGGTCCGGCCTCGGCTCGTCTCCCAGCAAGCCCCACCCCGGCCGCCTGTGCTCGGGTGCGATGGTGGCGGGCCTTAGCGCGGCCCAAGGGGCAAGGTGAGCGGGGCCTGGGAATTCACCTGCGGGGCCTCTCGCGCAGCGGGGGCCACTTGAGGGGCTCTCTTCGGGCAAAAGGCTCCCAGGGGCGCGGGCCCCTGGGCGCCATCCTGCCGCCTCTCAGGAAGGTCCGGCACCGGCACCGTGCCGGGCGGTGGCTGGAGTCCCTTTCGCCAGGGCTTCCCACAGGAGGGCCCGGTCTGGCCCTGGCCCTCGCCCCCAGGTCTCCCGCGTGGACAGCGCTGCTCCCTGCTTGCGCCCGGGGAGAGAGCCGGGGCGCAGCCGGATGGCGGGAGCCTGGGCGTCCGGACGAGGACCGGGCACCACCGTGGGGCCCGACTTGGGGAACACGTCGATGTGCCTCTCGGCGGACCTCTCACCAAGTAGTGCGGCCTGCACACTGGCCGTCGACCCCGGAGACGGTGCTGACGGGCCTGTGTGGGCGGAGGCTGGGGAGGCGGCTGGGGCCCGGGGCAGGACGGCTCTTAACCAGACTGGCCTGGGCGGCGGGGAGCCGCTGGTCGGTCACGGCTGACAGGCGAGCGCGGGAGACTCCAGCTGGACGGGCAGTCAGCGGCCGTGCGGTCTCGGTGGGGTTCTGCTAAAGCCCTGGCTCAGCCTCCCGCTTCGCACCAGGGCACCTACTGCCCGGCTCCTCTCGGGGTGGCCGAGGTTTGCTCCCCTCGTCTATCGTGTGTTTCTCCCGGGAGGCTGTTCGGGGCTGCCCAGCCTTGGACAGCAGCCTCGGAGCGGCAGGGTGGGGCTCGTGTGGCCGCTGTGTGGGTGAGACCGTGAAGGCACCTGTACCCCACGCGGCATGGGGGCTAGGGGCTGCAGGGGTGCTGGAGGGCGTGAGCAGGGGAGGGCTGGCCTGCAGGGTGAGGGGCGGCCCTTTCCCTCCGGCAGAGAGGGAGGAAGGCGACCCGGGGCCGCAGCAGGTGGGGGGCGGGGCGGGCCGGGGAGAGGACAGCGTGGACAGAGCCCAGGTGCCAGGGAGGGGCCCGGGCCCCTTTCTGCTCCAGCAGGGGCCTGGTGGTGGTGAGCTGAAGCCAGACACCTGGGGCAGGAGCCCACCTCCCCGCCCAGGACTTGCAGCCCCGCCCCCGCGTTAGCATGTAATAAGGAGATAAACTGCTCTTTCTTATTCTTTATTTGCCCAGAATGCCTGTTATTTTCTTTCTTCCAGAATCCAATTTTCTCTTGACATTTCTGCCTAGTGTAGCAAAACATGACCTTTGGGGAAGGGCTTTGCCAGCAGCCTGCTCCCTGCCCCGGGCGCCCCAGGAGCGTGGGCCCCTCCCTGGGGCCGAGCCCAGGTGCCCCTCACCTGGACCCTGCCCGTGTCCGGTGCCTCCCAAGAGCAGGTTCCCAGGGCTCCTGCGCGCGAGTCGGCGGCCGCCTCGGTGCTTGGCCAGCGGGCGCAGGGCTCCGCTGGGCCCGGTGCCGGCCACACTGGCGCCCTCGAGCCCGGCTCCGCCCGCGGACTTGCCCAGCGGTGCCTGCGGGCGAGGCCGTATCTGGGCACGCTGCTGCTTCGCAGGCAGCTGGTGGCTGCTTTCTCTCGAGGACCCTGACGGGAGCAGTTCAGTAGCCGTGAGGGGCATGAGTGTGGGCAGGGGCTGATGCCCATGGGCGCTGGGCGTCTCTTCGGGGCGCAGGCCAGGCTGCGGGCGTCGGAGAGCCCTGCAGGCTTCTTGCACCTGGGCGGGTGCTACAGACGCTTGTCGGTGAGGGGCTCAGTCTCAGCCGCGCAGGACGCGTGAGGCCAGACACAGCCTGCGAGGCGCAAGGTCGGCAGGTGAGCGCCGGCCAGCCTGCCTCTCCGGTCAGACGATCCTGCCGGAAGAAGTGGGGGGCGGGGGGACCCGCTTTAGAGGGGAAGGCTGAGTGTGCGGGGTCGTTCGTGGGCCTGGCTTCAAGGACACAACTTATCTTCACTCTCGAGATGTAGTTGAAGCGGGCGGCGGTCTCGTGTGTTAGTTGTGTCCCAGCAACGAAGGTGCCAGCTGGTTGGCGTCCCTTGCCCCCTGTCCGCAGGGGCGCTGCCCAAAGCCCCCTTAGCTTTTAGTGTGGCAAGAGGATGCAGGGGTCAACGAGGAAGCTCCACAGCTGTTTCTGAAGAGCTTGGCTTGCTGAAACTTGGCCCCCGGAGCTGGCCAAGCCTCTCCCCGCGTGGCCCTGGCTATTGGCAGTCGGCCGGGGGCCGAGGAGCCCCGCGCGGGGCCAGGCCCCGTCCTGCTGAGCCTCCTCCCGGCCGGCCGGCCCCACCTCTGACTCTCCTTTGTTTCCCGCCTTGCAGAAACCTGTCGAGTAACCGGCTCACCACTCTCTCGTGGCAGCTCTTCCAGACGCTCAGTCTCCGGGAACTGTAAGTGGGGTCTCGAAGGTCCCCCCGGGGACGGGCAGGTGCAGGGGTGGGCGGGAGACGGCGGCCGGGCGCACCGCTCCAGGGCCGCCGGGCTGGACGGAGCAGGCCGCCCCGGCGCTGGGCCCCGGACCACTGCCCTTTGGGCCAGGGCCCTCCTCTCGGCTGGGCCTCGTCTGTGGTCTGTCGGCCACCGCGGTGGCGTGCTGGCCAGTGCCGCAGGAAGGTCTTGTCCATTTGCCACGGGAGCTTTCGTGGCGTGGCTCTTCCAGATGGCCACGTGTGATTTCACTCCCACCGCCTTAGCTCTGTCATCACGAGTGTTGCTGGAGCTGGGTCTCAGCACCCTCATACAGCATCTCTCTGCCTCTGGGGGAGGGCCTGAGCCCTGCGCTGCCCGGGGGTTGCAGAACCGGGGCCTGGCCTTCGGTCACGCTCGTTCGCCACCCGTGAACCGCAGCGCCGGGCCTGAGTGCGGCCTCGGGCGGCCAGGCCACGTGCTTACTCAGCCCGCGTGCGGGTCCCGCCCCGCCCCGTCAGGGCCTTCTCAGCACCGGCTGGGTGGGTGAGACAAACTGGCGACCGCCGCTGCGGCCGTGACCCACTGAAGTGCGAGTCCTCGAGGTCATCTGTCACACCGAGGACAGCGTCGCATCTGAGCAAAGCCAGGATAAGTGGCCAGGGCGTTGAGGCCGAGGCTAGGGCGGCCGGGTCCCGTGCGTTCTGTCTGCTTGGACTCAGAGCACGGACTGCTGGACCGTTTACGGCGAGGCCCTGGCCTTGGGCCCTGCCTGCCTGTCGGGGGCTTTTGCCTGTCCCTGCTCCCGCTGGCTCCGAGGCCACGGACCCTGTTCCGAGCCAGCGGTCAGGGAGGGGAGTAGGCACAGCAGCCGTGCCCCCCACCCACCCCCGGCACGGAGGTGGCCAGCGCGGGCTGAGCGCTTCGAATGTGTTGGGGTGTCCGGTACGGACTGCCGCCGGCCTCGCCCGGCCCTCCGGCGCCAGCTTGATTTGGGCCCAGTCAGAGTTCTTGGGGGCCAGTGCTGAGATTCAGGGAACACCAATACGAACTCCTGCGTGGGCTGGGAGCCGGTGAACCCCGACTTGTTTGTCATAAAGCACTGAAAACCGAGGCGCTCGGACGCCGCGCGTCAGCTCACGTCCACCGTGGCAGGTGCACAGGCTGAGGCAGAGCAACCGGCCGCCGGTCATGCTGCCCTGGGGGCCTCGCTCTGCCCCGGGGGTCTGTCGGGCACCCGCACGGTCCCCTGACCTCAGTTCCGCACGGAAGGCGTTTCCCCGTCACTTGCCCTCGGGGCCCGCGCGCCTAGCCAGGCTAAGCGTCATGCCCCGGGCCACCTTCAGTCGGGCACCAGCCTCGGCCGCTCCGCCCCGCCCTCGCCCGGCCCGGTCTGCTCCCAGCCCGAGGGTCCGTGGTGATTTTCAAAGTGCCGCCTTCCGTTCCTCCTCGCTGCCCTGGCTCGGATCGGGCCCTCGGAGCTCTGGGGGCTGTCTCCGGGAGTCTGGCCTGGCTGTCCTGAGGCTGTCCTCCTCCTGGCGGAAGGCCAGCCACGCGTCTCCCCGGGGCAGCAGGGCCTGCCGTTGGCTGAATCACCGGGGAAACATTCAGCGCTCGCTCTAACCTCCCGGCTCCGGGTCCCCGGTGCTGCCCGACGGCCCGTTCCAGGCGCTGGAGCAACAGCTGTTCGCGATGTGCTTTCGGCCAGCGCGTTGGGGCCCGTGGGCCCTGCGTGCGCCTTTGCCCGGGTTCAGTCCGCGGGGGAGCGCAACGTGACTTAGCGGACAAGGCCCGCCCGGAGGCCGCTGAGCGCGCCTGGTGCTCGGGGCGGCTTCTTTCTGTCACGTTGTTAAAGAAGATCAAATTATGTTGGGAAATAAAGACCCCTCCCCCACCAGCAGGAGCCGCCGCCCCGGGCTGGGGCCTGTTTCTTGGAGGAGGCACTG